CTAAACTCTTTCCACTGTGCTTCTGAGTGGAGCTATTCCTTTCCTCCTTGCCTGGGCGCTGGACAAAAAGCCCAAGAAACAATATGGGTGTGAAATAAACCGATATGAACCGTCTGCTTTCCTAGTGAATAAAAATATTTTCCCACAAATAAATACTTTGTTTAACCATTTGAGACGGAATTTGGAGTATCATTGGGAAGTGACTGTGGCTCCCTGAGGTGGCTGATGGTGGGGAATGGGGTGTGGAGATGTGTAGCTGGATGAAGGGGAAAGATGGGACATATAACATCAGAAACTATAGAGCTCTTTTTCTGTTAGGAGTAGCTTCTGACTTGCTTTGTTCAATGGTGACAACAGCACAGCTCAAACCATTATAATATAAAAAACTGTGCTACTTTCCTGATGGTATCTGCTATCCTTCCGGGATGAAGACATTTCAGATGAAAAGAAAATCTCAGACTCTGCTAGTTGTGTGACTTATGTTTAAGTTTCTGACCAATATTTTGTGGTGCTTCAGAACAAAACTGTGATAAGACTTCTTAACTTCACCACCCAAACTTTCCACGGGTGTGTCTTTTTTATTGGAACACAAAATACTTGATTGGGAAAACACTGAATTTCCAGCTCTCTTTCCATGCTATCTGATTTATTAAAATCTCCTGTAGGTTGCTGACCTGTGAAGAAGGGCATCTTTACAGTAATTTATGTGTGGAATAGAAGGATGACTGCTCTTCTTGTCAAGGGCTTTATACAATATCAGCTGCTACGAGTGGAAGTCACAGAGGTAATAAGTGATTGTGTTTTCTCCAGAAGAAAGAAGGTAATGTTATAATAAGATAAATACATAAACATGAACATTACTTTTTAACAGAAGAAATCTTTTTTCTTTTCTGATTTACCCAGTCTTGCTGCTTACTTATTGTTTAAGTTTTCTGATGCCAGAGAAGCCATCTCCTCTCTAAAAATTCACGGTCCATTATACAGACCATTTTCAGTTCTGGTTATCTGTAATGTCAAGTTCAGCTACACACAAGTCCATTGAATAATTGACCTCGGACAAAATATCAAAACGCTTTTGAAGTTTGAAAGAGTCATATCCTTGGTATTCTAGATCAACGTTATAAAATAGCCCTTGTTTCGTAACAAGGGTCTAATCTTACCACTCTGTTAATCCTAAATCTCAATTTGTCCAAACAACAGAACTATTGTTTCTAGAACTGAAACACAGCTTGCTCCTATACTTAATTTAGTATGGTTTTTAATTGATTAAATAACCAGTGATGTTAAAGTTGAAATTAGCTTTTTCTAAAAGATGGGATCAGCTTTTATTAAAGTGTACCATTTTGATGAGTGACTTCATGCTGAAGGGGATGACAGAAAACAAATACGAATTCCAGAAAGGGGCAGATGGTGCTGTCCAGTGTAACATTTTCCAGTTACGGCCATTCTGACCATCCAGAACAAAATTAACATTGAATCTAGATAATTTTAAAAATTAGGTTTAAAATTTTGTCACTGAGCACAAAGATTTCAAGACAACTGAAACAACTACTGGGAACCTGCTAGTCTGGGAATAAATTAGAGAAGAATGCCATTTCTTCCATACATCTTCAGAAGTTAATGTTGTTAGTTATAATTCTAGGAACTAACAATAAACATACAGCTAAAACCACCAGCCAGTCCATGGAATCTTCAGTGATACAAGTATACTTAACATTTACATGGTTATTTGCACGGTTTATCCTGTTTCAGTGAGTGTAAGCCAAGAGTGTGGAGTCATGGTTTACATTTTGAATTATTCATTACATTAATTTGAGGTCCTGAGATTCAGGCCTGGCCACCATATAAACCTGCACAGGTACACTAGTCAAATCATCCTTATTTTGATATTCCTATCAATTTAAAAACACAACAAATTGATTGAAGCAAATATCTACAATGAGGTTTTTGGCTGTGTTTTAACAGCATCCTTCATCCTGACGGACTGCTTTGTGTCATATAACATAACCAGGGACAGGATCAGAAATAATTTTAATAATCAGTGGAGCAATAAAAAGAGCAATGCCATATTCTTGTAGATTTTTGGAGCTTATTGGTTCAGATAAAGAAGACTGTTGTGATAAGCCCAGTGTAACCCCATGTCTCTTTCCCACACTCTTCACATTGCCTGTTTTATTGCTTCTTTAATGGATCTTTTGAATAAAACCCCCAAAATATGCTTCTGTCTTTACATTTCGGTGTACATTTCATTTCACTTGCAGTTAGTTGAGCCACGCGGAGACATAAAGAAATAAAAATATGGAATTGGATTGGAAACAGTGACCTGTTTTGCTTGTAGCAATTGCTAAACTTTATTTCTGAAGTATCATTTCCCATACAAACTATACATTTTGCCCTTTGTTAAAATTGTACAACATGACATTAATTTCCAGAAAAATAACAGGAGTTCCAATAGGTGCATAACTTCAAAAAAAGTTGTGTTGATACAGGGACATTTACAAACAAAAATAAAAAATTATACTACATAAAACAATAAACACCAGCACTAAAAATGAAGCATCTCTTTCTCTATAAAGACAGGTTCCCAAGACATTTTCAAAGTTCATCTATTCAGATGGATAGTCAAATGACTGAGAAGCCTGTTTACATTGCACTCTTCATCTGGAACATGATTTTCATAGTTACATGCCACATAATACCTGAGCAAAGGGACAGTTAAGATAAAGAGCTGGCCCCAGGGGAATTATTTCCATGAGCAAGGAACATTTTTATAAATTTAGTAAAATCCATTTGTGTGCCCAGACTCCAGTGAGTGTTGGATACCACCCGCTGTAGATTTTTCCTTCTAAATACCATTTGGGATTCAGCAGTCCTCAGCTGAATCTTCATTTAGACTATTTTTTGTATTTGGAGGGTAAAATTTCCACTTTTTGTGGAAACACCTATTCACATTGTTTTGGTTTGGTTTGTGCGGGGTTTTTTTTCCCAATCTCAAATACCACCAAGCTTGTGCAATTGTTAATATAAATTGGGGGAGTTCCCTTTATGTTCCCTGGACAAGCCTGCTTCTCCCTGCCGGAATACTGCACCTCTACAAGGACAGTCCAACAAGTCAGGGGCTGGTACGAGCAGACCAAATTGCAGCACTGTCCCCAGGTCACAAATAGTTACATCCTGCAGGTGGAACAAATTCACCACAGAACTGAGCAATCCTTCTCCCAAAAAAGAAGGCTGGTGAGAGAAAGGGAAAAAAAAGAAGTGTTTCACTACCACAAAAAGACAGGGAAGTGGTAGCATTTCCAGGTATTTTTAAATGCATTAAAAGCAGTGAAGATACCTGAAATCAGAATCTTTCCAAGTGAATACACATTTTGCTCCAGTTTCACCCCCAGAGCACCGTCAAACAAAACCCGAGAAGCCTTTTTTGAGCAGAAGGAAAGCATAGAAACACCAAGGCAGGGTTCTTTCAGGTATAGAAAACATGAAGATCTAAACCCGGGCACCAGAGCTTCACTGCAAGTCCCCTTTCCCCCAGGGGTACTCCAGCCCTCCCATGAAGCGATCAGTCATCTTCTTCATTCGACATTTCTTGTCCTGCTATTTGTTGGCATTTGACCATTCTCCATAGCTTTGCTAGTCACGTTCCAAAAAGACACCACATCCTGGAGTCCCTCTGTGGTTCATGGATTCTTTTCTGAAATCTTCCCTCCCAGTTTGCTGGGGGGGGGCATTCAGCATGTCTTTGTGCTTTGAGGCAGAGAAACATGTAAAAGACCAGTTCAAAGGTTTTAAGGAAGTGGCAAGAAGCAGGGGTGAAGCTGTGAAAATTCAGGACTTTCTGAAGCTTAGGGTTTGCTTTTCCTCAAGCTCCAAATGCAAGCCCAGAACTGTTGGGAAAAACAAAATCCTGTAGATTTACATTGCTGTCCGTCCTGCACGCACCCAGGACCACAGACCAAGTCTTGGGGTCCTCTATTTATTCTCACGTTGTACAGACCTGGCTTCAAAAACGTAGGTGGGGGGCATTTCAGAGACAGATCCCTTGAAAAAGGAAAAATGACAGAGTCTGAGGGCTGGTTTTTAGAAACCCTTCTATAAAACAGAGAGTCTGTTCTGCTCACCCTGAAGTTAATACCAAAAGTCCAAAAGAAACTTTCCTCCTTTAGCCACCCCTCATCAGGTCCAATCCTACAGCTTTTACCCTCCTCTTGCACCACAAGTTTAAGGTCTTCTCAGCCCTGCAAGGACACAACCAGCAACGCAGCGGCTGAGAGGACGGGCACATCCTGAAGGAGAGAGCAGCACTTGGAGCTACAGCTCCACCTTTAGATGGAGATCAGCATGGGAAACACCACAGCAGGAAAAGCACCCGTGGCAGCCTGACAGCTTGGATCCACACACAGTCAAGGTAGGAAACCTTCGCGGCAGTGGGGTGCACGCTGCTGGGCAGTCCCTCAGGCAGACCCCGACAGCAGCTGCTGGCACAGCTAACTGAGTGTCCCCAGACCAGACCTGCCCCTTGTGCCCTCCAGCAGCTTTCGAGCAACATCATTTTCCCGTTTCAGAAAAACCCTCATCCAGTGTAACGCCGAGAGACACCTCTCCTGCTCTCCCAGACCCTCTCCTCTTTCCTCGGGATGTTTACACCTCCCAGAAACCCTGTCAGCCTTGACCCAGCTGTCCCTGCTGCCCCAGAGGGTGATGTTTGTCCACGCTGCCACCACCCTCTGCGGTCCAGAGGCCCCAGGGGGCTGTGGGGACCTGCTGCCCTGCAGAGGGGACACGGCCAGACCAGGAGGCATCTTTCCAGCTCCGAGGGGCTGCGGAGATGCCTGTGGCGTTGATGCACCTGACGCAGGCTCCAGAGGAGGATCAGAGCCCGGAGGAGGAAGCTCAGGTGGAAGTGGGGGATATGAAGGGAGGAGTTCCCCAGTGGGGAGCACCCAGGCCTGGGGGACAGAAGGGAGGTGGAGGGGACAAGGGGCAGGTCCGGGGGGCTGTCAGGGAGGGGTGGCGATGCCCAGCCGGCGGGCAGGGATGCGGGCAGCCAGCAGGCAGGCCAGCACGATGCCCACGAGCTGCAGCAGTGCCAGCCCCAGGGCCGCCGTGGCAAGGTAAAACATGTTGCCGCTGACGAAGGCCAACACTTTGCTGAAGCAACCGTCGCGGTGCAGCCCGTGTAGGTTGGGTGGGCTGGGCTGGCAGCCCCGGCGGGCCTGGCAGCAGCTGAGGGGCACCGAGCCATTTTGCTCCGGCCCCCAGGGCAAGGCGAGCCAGTCCCGGTAGCCCTCCACACCGCAGCAGGACAAAGCACGCTGCAACGCGTCCAAGGCATCCGCCATCTCCTCGTCCTCCCTGTAGGCGAGCAGGGCTTGGTGTAGCCCTTCCTGGAACCCCTGGGCGACGTTCTGGCGGTAGAGGAGGGCTGAGA